CCTGCCTAGAATCCCCCAGAGAGGGACTGGGGTATGGCTCAGTGGTAGAGCTCCTGCCTAGAATCCCCCAGTGAGGGGCTGGGGTATGGCTCAGTGGTAGAGAGAGTGCCTAGAGTCCCCCAGTGAGGGGCTGGGGCGTGCCTCAGTGGTAGAGCGAGTGCCTAGCTTGTACAGGGCCCTGCGTTGTATCCCAGGGATGTAAATAAAGAAGAGAGAACCAAACTGCGCCCAGGGACATGTGGCGGGGACGCAGGCAACCCTGAGCAGGTAGGATGCGCTGCTGGGTAGGCAGCCAGACAGGAGCTTGGGTGTGTGTGGCCCAGCTGGGGTTTTCAAGGATGCCCTCCCTCCCCCCGTGCCACAGGTTCATCGCTCACACTGGATTTTATAGTCAGGTGGCAGGAGGCGGATGTGTGAGAGCGGGATTCTGCCGGTGTCGCCGTCATCAAACTCCACAGTAATCAGGTCTCCGTCGTCTTCCATGTCCAGCAGCCCTGGGGGAAAGGGCACGCCAAGGAGGCTCTGAGGGCTGTGAGACCCAGCGGTGTGTACGCAGGCGTGGGCATTAAGGGCCACATGGGTCAAGGGCAGAGGAGGGCCCTGCCAGCTCTCTCATATCTGGCCCTGTGTCTTACGCTTTCCGAGGTAATGACTGGTCATACACATATCTGGGCTTGCTCATACACAAGACCCTCCCCTAAGCCACTCAGAAAAGCATTACCAAGTACATCAGCTCTGAATCTCGAAGACATGAAGTGGGCCTGTGTCAACATTCCAGAACATTCCACAGGGACAGAGTCATAATGGATAGCAGTTGGAGTCAGACCCTGTGCATGCCACAGGCTCTACCGTCAAGCCCAATCTCCAAACCCATTTTCACCTTCAGTTTTTGAGACAGAACCTCACTTAAGCTGCCCAGGCTGGCCTTGAACTCACTCTATAGCCCAGGGAAGCCTTGACCTTGTGATCCTCCTGCCTCAGCTGTGTACCTGTGGGAGGAGGCCTGTGCCAGCAAGTCTGGATGATTTTAGATTTGGCTTTTCTGTTCTAACAGAAGGAGGTGAAAGCAAGGCCACCAATGCAGGAAGACCCCAATAGCTGAGGAAGGGAAGGGGTCAGTATATGCAGGATGAGTGCAAAGATCTGCACAGTTATAGACTGAAGGGCACTAGCTACATCTGTATACTGAACATGGAGACACACCAGCCCCTTCCAATATGCAAATGCTTAGTCCAAATCCCCAAAGACACGGGCCTTGTGGTACCGACCCGTTAGGAGGAAGGACCTTCACATACCAGTGTTGGGGAATCCCCAACAGAAGCCTCTGCCCACCCACCAGCCCGAGGAGCTCCAGTCTGGCGCTTCAATCTCTCTCTTCCCCAAGGATAGACCAAGATGCCAGGACAATCGCCAGTGAGAGGAAGAAGAAAACTAACCCAGACCAGGAGGGGGCATGAAAGGAAAAAGGAGCCGAAGGAATCAACAAACGAACAAAACGCTCTCAGTGAGATTCTCCAAAATCAGATGTCCTGGTGGAGCAAAGATTTCCTTAAAAAATCAACCCTCAAGGCAGCGCAGAGTCAAGGCGTGAGCAGCGGTGTACACGTGCCTATAATCCCAGAACTCAGAGCCTGAGGCCGGAGGATCAGACACTCAGAGCCAGGCCTGGCAGGAAGGTATGGCGGGTGAGCACACTGCTGACAAACCTGAAGAAACAAGCTGCTTCCCGGGAGCCCGCACAGCGGGGGTGGAGAGCACACGCCCGAAAGCCATCTGGACTTCCACATGAGTGCCCTGGCATGTGCAGATTTCATGCCTGTGTACACGCGTGTGCGGGCACACACGCACACACACACACACACACACAAACACGACGAAAAAGTAGAAACAAGAGGACTAAACAGCTCTATAGAAAGAGTAACAAAATGAGCCTCCGACAAAGGCTTAGGAATTACATTTTTAGTGTGTGTGCAGGCAGGTACAAGCTCACATGTGTGCACACGCGGGCAAGCCAGCAGGTGACGCTGGGTATCCTCCATCGCTCTCCACCTCAGACTGAAGCAAGTTCTCCCAACTGAACCCAGATCTCGCTGACTCCGCTAATCTGCTAGGTGGTTTGCTTTGGGATCCCACGTCTGTCTTCTACGTGTTGGCAATCCTAAGGAGACATGCTCTCCTGGCATTTACACGGGTGCTGGGCTTCTGAGTTCAGGTCCTCACACTTGCACAGAAACTGTTTTACCCACTGTGCCATCTCCTCAGCGCCCAGATTGGGAATTATAATGTGGTGAATTTGCCAAATCTATAGAAAACAAATGTAGCCAGGCATCATGGCACACACCTTTAGTCTCAGCACTTGGGGGCAGGAGCAAACAGATCTCCGTGAGTTCGAGGCCAATCTGGTTTACACAGCTAGTTCTAGGCTGACTTTGAAAAGGTATGGAGAAGCCAGGGCGATAGTGATACATGATTTAATCCCAGCATCTGAGAGGCAGAGGCAGAGGCAGAGGCAGAGGCAGGTGGATCTAGTTAGAGGCCAGCCTGGTCTACAGACCAAGTTCTAGGACAGCCAGAGCTACACAGAGAAACCCTGTCTCAACAAACAAACAAACAAACAAAAGAGGTAAATTATTTCCAGTGTGGAATCTCTACTGTCTCTAAGTAAGGGGAGACTAAGCAGATGGCAACACAGAGGACCCGATAAACTTACCACGTGTGGAGTCTGTCTCAGAAAACTACAGGAGGCTGGGGTGTGGCTCAGCTGGTGCTGTGCCTGCCAGGGACACACACGTCTCTGGTCTTATCCCTGGCACTGCATTCACTCAGTGAGAGGGCCCATGTGCACAGCGCTTAGAAGCTGCAGGAAGGTAGGGCCAGAAGTTCAGAGTCCTCACTGCCTCATAGAGGGTTTAAATCTAGCCTGGGCTACTCGAGCCCATGTCTCCAAACACACAAGCTACTGAAAGATCTGTGAAAATGAACCACGAATGCGAGACACAGAATGCCAAACAGAAGAGACCAGAAGGACCCACCCTTAGCAGGCTGGCCAGGCTCAGCTCTAAAACTGCAAGAGGCCCCCTGAGACAGCCTGGAGAGCACCTACCCCTACATGACACGGGAAGACAGGAAGTCTCGGAATACCAGACTCCCAGGTAAACGTTTGCTATGGCAACATCATTTCTGGGGGATGCTCAATCGTGGCTTAGACCACACGGGGCACCTGTTGTTGTTGAGCGGTATTCAGTCTCCTGGTGTGTAAAATGTGAGGTAGCTAAGGGATGCGTTGTGCTTGGCCTTTTGGTCCAACCAACATCCACGTCCCCAGGCAGGTTGGTTTTGGAATCACTAAGCCCTGAACTGCTCGAGTATCCACTTCGCTTTGTCTGACATCCCCACTATTTATCTTCTGGGTACCCATTTATTTCCCTGTTAAGCCTTGTTTGGTTTTTGGTTTGTTTGCTTTTTAAAAAATGATTTATTTATTTTATGTGTGTTGGTGTTTTGCCTGCATGCATGTCTGTGTGATGGCGCCAAATCACATGGAGCTGGATCTCAGGCAGTTGTGAGCTGCCATGTGGGTACTTGGAATTGAACTCAGGTCCTCTGGAAGAGCAGCCAGTGCTGCTAAACGCTGAGCCCTGCCCCCAGCCCCAAGACTTACCCATGTTTACGTAGGTGTATGTGTGTATGCCCTGTGTAAGTCTGTGTACCATGTGCACGCAGGAACCCATGTGGGTCAGAGGAGGGCGCCAGATCCTCCGAGCCGGAGTGCCAGCGTGAGCTGCCATGTGGATGCTGTAAGGCCAGCAAGCACCTGTACCCACCCAGGCCATCTCTCCAGCCAGGAACCTGTTTACTCCTTTGGCTTTAAAATATGTATGTCTCCGCTTTGCGCGTGTCTGTGTGAGTGACTGAGCACAGGTGTGTGTGGATGCAGAGGCCAGCAGAGGGCATCACGCATCCTTGCCTAGCATTCCCAGCCTATCATTCATTCCTTCAAGGCAGGGTTTCTCCTTGAAACCAGGGGCTCACGTTTTCTGTAAGGCTAGAAGGCAGCAAGCCCCAGTGATCCTCCTGCCTTCACAGTCTGAAGAGCTGGAGTTGTTACGGGGAGGGGGAAGAGAGGGAAGGGAGACGAGACAGTGGGTGGGTGGGACCTGAACTTGGTTTTCATGGTTTTGAAGCAAGCATTCTTAGCCTCCCGGCCATCACGCCACCCCTACCCTATTTATTTTTTTTGTCTGCGTGACTTCCAGTCTCTGTAGGAGTCACAACATCCCAGCTTTCCCATGTGACTACTCAGGCCCAGCAGTCTGTGCTAATATTGGGTAGAAACCTTCAGTTTAGGGGCCTAACTGGTAGCAGGTCATAGGTCATAGGTCCTTTTGAAGGTTGCACCTGGTGTCTGGTGCCCCCCCAACTCTCTGCTTCCTGTTTATCGTGTGAACATGATGTTAATCATGCTTCACGCCACCACGGTTGGCCGCACATGATTGCACTGCTATGAGGTTCCACTTTGCCCAGAGTCAACAGAGCCAAGGGCCAGGTGAGCACCGTGCCCGCTGAGGCGGCAGGGCAACACAGGGCACCCCCTGACCTAGGCGGGCCACCAGGACAGTGAGCCGTTCTCCGCTGACAGCTTCCCAAGAAGCTGGGGTGCAGCCAGCATACAGACAAGACTGCAAGGTCAGAAGGCATGCCCGAGTCCTGACTTCACCCAGAGAGCACCCAGGTCAGGCCGCACCAGAAAGCCCGCCTGGAGTTCAGTCACTCTAACCAGCCTCTACAGTTAACCCAGCGGGTCTCAGTGGTCCCAGTGACCAGACGCACAGGCGTATCAGGAGCTGGGGGAGAGGTGTCTCACCTCGGACCACCGTGCCTGGGTACAGGCAGCGGTACTGCTGGCTCCAGTAGGCCGCGATCCGGGTCCCCTGGGGCAGGAAGCGGGTGGAGGCTGGCCGCACGTCTATGATCTAGCAGGGTACAGACGGAAGGTCGGAGGTGACTGGGAAGGCAGTGACCAAGAGCGGAGCTCGGGCCCGGCCCTGGAGGCCCCCCTCCCCTCTCCTCCCCTCCCTGCCACTCACTGCTTCCTGCAGAAGTTGCTCTAGGCAGTAGATGTGGGGACGGTTTCCACGCTCGCCTTCCACCACCACACGGTATCTGCAAGGTGGGGGGCACGTGTGTAACGGGGCAGTGGCCAGACAACACCCTTCAGGAGACTGAACACTGCCCGCACCCAGCAGGGCCACCTCGGCCGCCCGGACCAAGGGAGTCAGCGCTGGGTTCAATGTCTGTTAGCCTACTCTAAACTGGACTGCTCTCGCTCTTCCTCACTCGCAGACTGCAGGGGCTAGAGAGCCTGCCCAGCCAGACCCCTCCTTCCAAAGGAGGGCCACACGCCTCCCTCACCGGCTTCCTGCGGGGCCCCACGAGGCCTAGCTCCGCCCAGCAGAAGTGGGGCCTACTTCGGGGGAACTCTCAACTACTGGCCTCAGCTGCTCCCCAGAGGACCCCACGTCTCATCGAGGGGAGTAGAACCTGCCGGAGGGCCCCGGACGGGAGCGGGTGCGGAGGCTGCCCACTCACATGTCTGGAGAGTGCACAGTCTGCACGTGGCCCGCGTACAGCAGCTTGTCGTCCATGGGGATCAGCACGCGCAGGCCGTCCTTCAGCTCGTCCTTGTCAATGATGCATGAGCGGGGGGCTGCAGAGGGCGGGCAGGAGCCGGGCACACTCACAGGGTGTCCAGGAGCAGGCGGGCCAGGCCCACCCAGTGACTCTGCCAGCCCCTCCAGGAGATGAAGGCCTTGGGACTGTCTCCAGATACACTGTGTCCCAAATGCCTTGGGGTGGGGGATGGACGGTCCTCCTTTCGTCTCAGGTGAGTGAGAAGCCGGGAGTAACAAATTCTCCCCACAAATCAAAACTCTCGAGGTCCAGGGCTGTGAAGCCCATCAGTGGATGCTAAGGTGCCTTCTTCCAACACCGTGCCCCTGCCATGTCCCTAGAACGCTGTCCTTCTCCACCTGAGCCCCATACCCCGCAGACTGCCCATCCCAGTTTCTCCCCTTTTTCTTCTCCAGGAGACCTTACACCTGGTCCCTGTCCTTGGCAGGTATGAAAAAGACCCAACTGGGTGCGTGGTGGTAGCCTGCCATCCCAATGACAGAAGAGACATTAAGACTAAGGTGTGTGGCCAGCCTGAGCTACACAGTGAGCTCAAGGCCAGCAGAGGCAACTTAGTGAAATTCACTCTCAAAGTTAAAAGGCTGAGGGTATGGCTCAGTGGTAGAGCACCTGCCTAGAATGCCCCAGTGAGGGGCTGGGGTGTGGCTCAGTGGTAGAGCTCCTGCCTACCCCCAGTGAGGGGCTGGGGTGTGGCTCAGTGATAGAGCTCCTGCCTAGAATCCCCCAGTGAGGGGCTGGGGTGTGGCTTGGTGGTAGAGCCCCTGCCTAGAATATCCCAGTGAGGGGCTGGATGTATGGTTCCACAAGAGACAGCCTGCCTAGAAACCAAGAACAAGTAATTGTCCAAAATTACATGCCTAGAATGGCTGAAGATCTAGCTCAGTCTGTGAAGCTTAAGATTAGATAGATAGATAGATAGATAGATAGATAGATAGATAGATAGATAGATAGATAGAT